GTATGTTCTTGGGTGTACCTAGTTTATTTTGGAATTTTCTGGGAATTTTTCCATGCCTGGAAAGAACTTTTTAAAATCCTTGTGTACACCTCTCGGGTGTACCTAGCAATTTCCCCTTCACTGCGGCGATTGACGGCGGGGCTAAGCGCAGTGGTCAGTGCTGCTAATCTTGTCTTTGTGAGCCGGGTGTGGACTATGCCGTGGACTCGCTACCCCTCTCTCAAGGTTCAAGTGAACCCAGTTCATGAGAGGGAGTAGGAGGGAGGAGAGAGGACTACCGTGGATCGCCACTTGCGGGGTCACCAGGTGTGGTGTCATGTCTCACCGACATGTGGGCTAGCTCCTTGGCTTCTGGCGCGAAACGCCGCCAGGCTCGGCCCATGGGATGAGAGGAGGGTGACATAGGGGAAACGGCGTCCGGGACGGCGTGGTGAGGAATCGATTCCCCTTCGGAGCGTTTTAACGCCTCGAGGAGGGTGTGTGTGTGGTTGCGGTGCACCAAAGTGGTCGATAGCGAGGGTTGCAGAACCCGCCGGGCCTTGCTAGCAACGGACGTGAGCAACAAAGTGGCTCGACGGCGTTCGCTCCCGTTGGCAGAGCGTTACTGAGCAAATGATGAGCCAATAGCCGTGGCGGAGGTAGTGGAGGTGTCAAGGAGCTTGGCGACGACTCTATTGACCTAAGTCGCGCCGGAGAGGAAGAGCTCCAGCTCGCTCCCATGGCAGACGCAGCGCCCGATTTGGGGAGAACCGAGCTACTGACTCGTAAGAAGGGAGGAGAAGAACTTGGAGGAGATGGTGTGTCGCTACTCTAAGCGGAGCTTGCGGTGGAGATGGTTGGAGCGAAGGGGCTCTAGCGGGGCCTATTTATAGTCTGGCGAAGTCTGCTCGCCGTCGGCCGATATTTTCACTGTCACCAGATATTTTCTCCGCCGCCTTGGATTCCTCATATTCGCATGTGCCCGTACTTGCTCTGCTATACTCGAGCCTATCCGATCTCGGCGAAGGAGGAGCGGGGACGATGTATAGCCATGGCGGCGGCAGCGGTCATGTAACCGTGCGTTGCCGCGCAAGGTGAGAGAGAAGAAGGGAAAGAGGTCGTGAAGCTTCGTGGGGTCCACTGGCGTGTCCCTATCTGCTTTCGACCGTTGGCGGGCGGTGGCATGCAGCAATGAGCTTGAGGCGGTTGTTCAGTGATGTCGTCGTCGTGTGTAGACGACGGTGATGATAGGCGGGCCGTAGCATCAGCCGAGGAGGAGAAAGGAACGGAGCGGCATCGGTCTTTGGGCCAAGGTGCATGCCGCCCAAGCGGAGGGGGTAGGCGGGTCTGCGCGACTTCTGCGAGGCCTGTGGTGACCCAAGTCGGCAGAGAGGAGGAAAAAGCGCCTCATGGGCGAGAGAGGAGGAGAGGGGAGATTGGGCCCGAGTGCCATTTCCAAATAGAGAATTGTTTTCCTATTTCCCAGAATAAATCCCAAATTGATTTGAATGGATTCTAGTTTGAATTCAAAGGGATTTGGAAGGTTGGGGTTTATGAAATGTCGGGGAGGATTGTGGTAATTCAAGGAGTTTCCAAGGAGTTATCTAAGGATTGATCAAGGATGGTTTCAAGTAAAGATCAAGGAGTTTCGGAGAAGAGATCAAGGAGAATTTCCTTGGTGACAAAATAAATCCTAGGGCAAACAATCATCCAATCACACAATCCAACCATTTCAACCTAGGTGCACATGATGTGTTTTGATGCAAGGTTTTTGGAAGATTTTCAAAAAGGGTTTTGTAGTATTTAGCTAACCAAATTTTAGTTTGGTGTAAAATTTAAAAAGTTCAAATTTTTAGTGAATTTTAATATGATGCAAAACACAGGGTGTTACTCCGTTGAGGAAGGCGGACTTGACGTCCATGTGGTGGATCTGCCACGCCTCCTAAGTAGCCAGAGCGAGGAGGACACGGACTGACTCCATGCCTGCCACAAGGGCGAAGGCATCATCGTAGTCGATCCCCTCTTGCTGGACGAAGCCGCGCGCCACCAGCCGCGCCTTATGTTTGATCATCGCGCCCTGCTCATCCTTGTTGAGCTTGAACACCCATTTGAGAGTGATGGGGTGGTGGCCACCAAGCAGTGGCACCAACTCCTAGGTGCGGTTCTGCTCGACAGACTTGAGCTCCTACTCCATCGCAGCCCACCACGCCGGATCACCTTGCGCCTCAGCATAACTGGTCAGCTCAACTGCGTGCGTCAGATGAAGTTGGGTGAAGAGCCGCTCTGCCTGGCCTGACGGAGACTGGTCGCCGATGATGTTCATCACCGTGCGGTACCGGAGTGGCTCATCGTCATAGTAGGCATCCAGGCGGTCTTCATCGTCCTCTAGCGGCGTTGCATATTTGATCTCCGGCTGCCCTGCGTGCGCTGGTGTCGCGGCGAGCGAAGCGGAGGATGCCGCAGTTGGGGATGGAGGTGGTGAGGTTGGCTAGGGTGTAGGAGTGGTCGGCTAGGTTGCCGATGTGGTCGGCAAGGTTGCCGACCAGCTTCCGACCGCCGCCGATGAGCTTCTGAGCTCCCTCGGATTTGGTGAAGGCGAGTGCGGCGGAGCTGTTGATGTGGTCGGCGAGACCGGTGAAGTGGTCGGCAAAGCTGGTGAAGTGGTTGGCGCTGGTCCTCCAGCCCATTTGTACTTGATGGTGAAGTCGCGCAGAGCTACCGTCGATCCATCATCCGGCGCCTTATCCCACGCCCAGCCGTGGCCTTCGTCGAACAGAACATCGCGCGTCACCTGCACACGCTGCGTCACCGAGTCGAGTACGCGATAGGCCCTACCCCCTTTAGCATAGCCGATGAAGACTCCAAGTGAACTACGATTGTCGAGCTTGCTGACGTGGTTGAGCTCCTTGACGAATGCCAGGCAGCCAAAGACCCGTAGATAGCTAACCGTCGGCTTGCGTCCATGCCAGACCTCATACGGTGTCTTGCCGTAGAGAGCCTTGGTCAGAGAGCAGTTTAGCAAGTGCATGGCGGTCATCATAGCCTTGCCCCAGTAGATCGCCGGCATGCCCCGCTGCTTGAGGAGGGCACGGGCAGTGACCACCACTGTCTGGTTGCGGCACTCGACGACACCATTCTACTACGGTGAGTAGGCCGCAGAGTAGTGGCCCTGAACCCCCTTGTCGGCGTAGTACACCGCAAACTCAGCCACCATGAACTCGCCGTTGTTGTCCATGCACAGCACCCGAAGCTTGCGGCCGCACTCCTCCACAACAGCTTGATGGCGCTTGATGGCGTCCATAGCTGCCACCTTGGTGTCGAGCAGGACTGCCCACATGTAGTGGGACACATCATCGACAAGGAGGAGGAAGTAGTGCCGACCTCCAGGTGTAGCCGGTGTCATGGGGACGCAGAGGTCGCCGTGTACAAGCTCCAGCTTCTCCTTGGCGCGGAAGCTCGCCTGGCAGGGGAACAGGAGCCGCCACTGCTTGGTGAGGACGCAGGTGTCGCAGAACTCCTCCACATGCTCAACTCGCGGCATGCCCCACACCATCTCCTTGTTGCAGAGCTGTTTTAGGGCCTCGGAATTGAGGTGCCCAAAGCGATCGTGCCAACGCTAGGCGTCATCATCACGGCGGGCTGCACCACCTGCACATGCAGAACATAAAGGCTATTGTCACCTCTGTTCACCTTAGCGAGAAGTCAGCGACGACGATCCCAGATACGTAGTACCCCGTGCTTGATCTCCAGGCACAAGCTGTTCTCATCCAGCTGTCCTAAGCTGATGATGGAGTTCCTCGGTGCGGGGATGTTGTAGACACCGGTGACCAATCGATGCTCGTCAGTCTTGGTGGAGAAGACAATGGAGCCGACGCCCTTGATCCCCACGGCGAAGGCATCCCCGAACTTGATGGAGGCTCGCATGCCAGAGTCCAAGTTGGAGAAGAACTCATGCCGACCAGTCATGTGGTGGGTGGTGCCGGTGTCGAGGTACTAGCCATCGATCTTGTCACCGCCGGTACCGGTGCCGAGGAAGGCATGGGCACGTGGCTCGTCAAGGTGGAGCAGGGGAGAGCCGATCGATGCGGCGAGGGGAAAGCTTGAACCTTTCTCCTCCTCCCCTATTTCTTGCTGTAGCTCAACGCACCCGTGCACCAAGAACAGAGCAAGATCTTACTCCTCTGCTTGCGTGATGTGGGCTTGCCCGCCGTGGCATGGAGGAAGGAGGTAGTCCTTGGCCCAATGGCCTGTCTTGCCGTAGTTGAGGTAGGTATCATCCCGGGTCGCCTTGCACTCGCCGGTGGCGCCGCCATCGGCACCACTGTTCCCCCGGGGTCCCTTGTCCTCCTTCTTCTTGCTGCCGCATGGTCGCCGGTGACACTCCCTGGGCGGACCAGAGGTAGAAGCCTCATCCTTCTTCTTCTAGAAGGCCTGCCACTGCTCAACGGTGTAGAGCAGCTTGCCTCGAGCGGCGCTCGACTTGGTGTGAGGCGCCACCTCACAATTTTGCACGGCCTTCAGCCTCCCGATGACCTCCTTGATGGAGAGCTCCACAAAATCGAGAAGCGTCTCGATCGCCAGCATGATCTAGGAGTACTTCTTGGGGATGCAACGTAGGAGCTTCTCCACCGCGCGAGCGTCGGTGATGTTAGTGTCGCCGTTGCACGCCATCTGCTCCTTCAGTCTAGAAAGGCAAAAGGCAAAGTCTTTGACTTGCTCACCGGGGTTAAAGGCGAGGCCATCCCACTCCTGACGGAGCCGTTGTAGCGTCGCACGGTAGATGCGGTGGCCGCTGAGGCGCGCGGTGGCGATGGAGTCCCAAGCCTCCTTTGTCATAGCCTTGTTGGTGAGGGAAGCGCCGATCTCCATCGGCACGGTGGCGCACAATGCCTCCAGCGCCAACCGATCGTTGTGGAACTTGGCATCACCGAACTCGACCGCGTCCCAGAGCTGTCGCGCCTGCATCTTGACCTTCATGAGCAAGCTCCGCTTGTGGTAGTTGGTCTTCGTGAGCATCGGCGATGGCGTCCCCGCTCCAGAGTCGCGGTAGACCATCTGCACAACCGGTGAGCAGCCGCAGCGCCCTCGACGCCGCTCCGGCAAAGGCGAGACCCGGCGGCGCCTCTCTTCCCGCAACGCGGCAGCGGTGGCGCCCGCAGCTTTAGCCGCTGCCGCTGCACGCGTGGCCGCCGCGACTACCTACGCAGCCGTTGCCTCTACGGCAGCAAGGCGCGCAGCGCGGTTGTGGGCTGGAGCTCCCTGCACCGTGCCTCTGGGGATAATCACCTCTGCGGCAGCTGAGGCGCACCTAGCCCTCTCGCTGCTGGTGGACATGGCTGCTCTCCAAAGCCCCAAAGAACCTTAAAGGCTCCGATACCAATTGTTAGCTCTAATGAATCTCAGATTCAGATTGGGGAAAGCCCAGAGGGCAGCTTGGCCATAGGCCACTTGTTGGAATTGAAATGCAAAGGACTTGGCTTGTCTTATAAGATGGTATGCCACTGCTTTTATAAAAGCAGCCGGCTGCCCTCCTCCTCACCTGCTCTAGCATATTCTAACCACTAAAGTGGATGCTGAGCATATTACTATTACAAGGCTTAGAATCCTAAAAAGTAAATTACAAAAAAAAAAGATACAAGTGCTGCCGAGCACTAGGCATATCTATCAAGATGCAGTGGACAAGAGGATCCAATAGAGAAAGCCCTCCTATATGCACTACATGACCTTATCGACCTTTCTTCTTCTGGCAATGTTTCGTGCAGTCTTCATGAAGCTGTAAGATGCAACAGATTTATCTATATATGTCACTGACTCACTGTTGTTATCTTTTCACTAATTTTTTTAACATCATAATGTTCAATTGTTACTGATAAATTGAAATGGTGACGACTCAATATAAGTTCTTGTGATTGCAGTGGAAGCAGTGGCTCATGGCAAGATCTGCAAAGGAGGCACAGGAAACATGTGAAGGGAGCACAGCATTGCTGCTAGTTCGTACAGTAAAGATCTGTTCAGGAAGGCACAATTTGATGGAGGAGCAGAACGTGAACAGCCTGGAGTATTCCCAGCTGGAGAGGCTCAACTTTTCCATCGGCTCCAAGCTGGCCTCTACAGTTCGTGCTCAGGTATGTGCTTGCTTCAATCATCCTGAAATTACCGATGGTTCTTTTTTTTCTTAATGTATGCTGCTTACCGATTTACGAACAATAATGCAACTGAAGGGCAATGATCAGAATGGAAAAAATATGGAAAGTGTTCGGAAGAATATAGACGTGGAAGAAGTTGAGCTGGAGATGCAGGAACTGGCTCAGTGCGTTCTTGAGAGCTGCAGCTCTATCAGCTGGATGACCAGGCAGACATTCCTCCACGTGGTAAAGAGCTACTACTACGTCGCTCACTGCTCACCTGAAACTGTTGATAATCACATATCCAAGGTTATATTTGGAGATGTCGTTGCAGAATAATACCGTACCCAACTCCCACTCGGTTTCTCTTCCTATTAATGTTGTCACATACAAAACATAGTACTCTGATTAAATCAATCAATTTGGAAAGAAGAGGGACATGAATGTATTGTGTTTGAAAATTGTAATACATATATATGAAGTTTTTTTCTTGCTCGATCCGCTGTCGGCCACATTATTTTGCCCATGGAAAACAAGTTCGGTTCCGAAAGTTCTATTATACTGCTCAACCAAATCATGGGCTTGTATTCTTGGGGCCACATGGGCCTGGAAATGGGACTGCCTAGACAGGCCGGAGGGCTGCACGGACACTCCAACTCATGAGCTCATTAGGAAATGGCTGTACTGGGTCCGGTTGTCACAAACCGAATGTTACATGTAGCCCATTGGTCGACGTCAGGATCATTACTGCTGTTGGAAATATAAGACAAATAATATTGCTATGGGACATCGAAGAACCATTATATTTGCCACTTCACACTGGCACACCAACAATGTTGAAATTTATTGAGTACCATTATAAAATTATAGTTCTTTGCCGTAATACAACGCACGGATTATTTATTCATTTCTCTGTTTTGGAGAGAGAAGGTGGGACAAATGTACTTTTTGCCCATATCTTCTACCAAGACCCCCTCTGCAGGCCAGGGCGGTGGCCTCTAAACAAATTCTTTCCCTGCAGCATGGAGTATTCCCCTCGGTCCTGAACCTCCCGTCATGGGCGCTACTCCTCCCATGATATCTGTTGTGAAAACAAAGCGGAAAATATCTGCACCGCCGGGGACGCTCTACGCGCCAGCGAAAAACCAGGCCCACACGCTCTGAGCCTTGGCATGTCCCATGTGTTAGAGAGAGGTGCCGAAAAGAATGGCGTGGATGGAGGCACGCCCCGCGCGAGTAAAAAAATTCCCTTATGCTTTCACCCGGCGAACTCTCTCCATCTCCCCCAAATTCTTCCCCCTCTCTCCTCTAAATCGGCTCTCAACAGATGGCGGTGGAGCACGGGGCAGCACAGGCGAGAACACCGTCGCTACGCATCTTTGGGGCTCGGTGAGGTAAGCCCCTTCTCCCATCGCTCTGTCCCCTCTCACGCCTTCTCCCTCTGCTTCCCACACAGGGCCATGCGTCACGGCAGCATGCGAGGTACTGGTCACCGTGGAGGATTCCAGCCATGGTGGAGTACTCCGGACGTGGCAGATCCAAGCAGCTGTGAGCCAACGATTCCAACGAAGGATAGCCCAACCCAATCAAGGTCGACACGGCCTTGGCTTCCCCATGATCCAGCGAGGTGAGACCCTTCTTCTCCCCACGTAGGTCCATGGTGTTGCGGTTGCGACCATGCGCTAGGTACTTGCCCACAGATATGACTGATAGATCCCATGTTCCTTGAGCAAAGTTTGTGGCAGTATCATCTCTGTTGTCACCTTTGCCATTTCCTCGTACTTAGTCTCGGTACTTGATCTTGAGTTTGTATGTTTGCACCAACCTAGTTTTTTGTGGTTCCGTCTACGCACTTAAAAATAGCTTCGGCTTTATATTTTTCTGGCAAGAAAAGCTTTTCTGTGCGGGGGCATTTTGTGCGGCTCTGTCAGCTCCGCCCATAGAGCCGGTGGAGGAGCTGTCGTAGGAGCTGCACTAAACTGACCCTATCTCTACGGTTGCATTTGCAATTGCCTTGTACTTGGACTTGGATCCAGAGCCTGTCTGCTGTTTTCTTGAGGTCCATCATACTAGATTTGATCCCAGCAGGACGGCATGGCCACTGGTTGAGCATCGATCATCTGGACATCCCGTCCGATCGGCATTTGAAAATGCAGTTAGAGTAAGGGCTGATGTCCACTACAACATAAATGATTTTGTGAGACAGTGCCATAACATTTTTGGAGGTGGGCACAAAGTCTATGCTCTCCTAAAATATGCAGCGATTTTGGGAGGTGGACAGTACCATTTTTGGAGGCAGTAAAAAAACGACCGTCTCGGTAAATCTAGTAACTCAAAGTTAGGTATTGAGCACTCATCTCACTCTCAACCGGCTCCCTCTCCCTCTCACTACTGGAAACTCGAATACTTCTATGGGTGATGAATTTTTCTGTGCGTGTTTCTCTATACACACAGAAAACAAAAATCCCGACAGAAATATTCGAAAACCCACAGAAAAATTGCGTGATTTTTCTGTGCGTGTCAATACACACAGAAAAATTGATATTATTCTGTCGGTCTTCTCAAAACTCACAGAAAAACTAGAAACACAAACAGAAAAACTAGATACATGAAAAAAAACCCTCAACCTATCTCGGCCGCCCGTCCCTATCCCAAACGCGCCGCCCGCACCCGCCCGAGACCACGCCAGCACTCCCGTCGCTCCTAGCTAGGTCTCGCAGCGGCCACCCCCTCCTCTCTTCCATCGTCGCGGCGGCCACCCCCTCCTCCACTACAACTCCTCCCCTCCCTTCCCTCGAAAGACGGTGGTGGTGGCTGCCCGTGCAAGGCCGGATGGCGGCGCCTCCGCCCCCAGATCTGCCTCCTGTCGCACCAAGGAGCTTCGCCGCCCGCCGCCCCCAGATCTGCCTCCCCCTCCTCTCTTCCACCATCGCGGCGGCCACCCCCTCCTCCACCGGTGAGGCCACCGCCCCCTCCTCCACCAGATCTGCCTCCCGGCTTGCACCATATGCCTGCTCCTCTCCATACATTTCCCCTCCGCCATCCCGCACGCCTCCATCTTCTCGATTTCTCCTTCCCTCTCGGTCCTGGACGCCGCGATGCTTGGCGGGAACGATTTCGGCTTGCGCGGGAGATCTTGTCATCCTGGGGCCTGGGCTAGGGTTACCGCCCCCATTTCACACCTCTCCTTCCTCCTCTGGTTTGGTGCGCTCTCTCCTCTTCCTCCCCATCGAGTTCGCTTGACCTATACGGTCAACCTCCACCGGCGGATTCGTGTTGGTCCTCCAGTGCTCCGACAGTATATCTCACCTGCCCCCATCTCCTACCCCTCTCTGTGCGGTGATTTCTGTTGAATCGTTTGTGGATTTTGTTTGTCGTCCACTGATATTAGGGTTCATGTTCTTAGATACTTAGATCTGGGCGACATTTTTGTTGATCTACATGTTTACATTTGCTTTCGTCTTGTTCCGCCCTCAGATCTGTGTGATGTGCACCTCTTATTTGTTGTACACATGTGTTGTCGCCTAGATTTTGCACATGATGATGCCTAGTCCGATTTACAAACTGAGCAAAGTGCCTTGGTCAATGATGTTTACTTAACCCTAGGCGCTGGAGGAGCACCCTATGGTGTGGCAGCCGCGTCTTGCTTAAGTCCATAGCTCTGATTCTAGTGAGGGTTCTTTGTGCTGAAGCATCTAGAATTTATGACACTGATGTTCAATCTCTTGATATGACTGTGATGTTCAAACTCTTGATATCTATTTGGCCAATGATGCAACATGAAAAATAAACTCTGAGGTGGCTGCAATTTGTTTTTTGTGCATTCTGTATGATTCTCATGACTGTCATCAAACCATGGGACATGATCTTAGTTTTCTTCTATCTGTTTTTTTTTTTGCCTTGGCAGCCACCTATGATTGAGTATCTGGAAATTGTACCAATATATCGTTAAGATGAGGCCTCACTTACTTTGCCAATGATGATATCATATTAAGCATGCCAAGAACTGATGACCTTGAGCTTGTGTTGAGGTACTGGAACTTTGTTTCTTACTCTGTTTGTTTCTTATGCTCCAAGCTCAAGGTCAACCGAGGAGCAACTGATATCTGAGGCCAATGTGTTGAATACTACATCATTTGATCACCAGCTTAGTTTTCTTTATTACATGAATCGAGGAAAGCATGCTCCTAGTGTTTATAATTGTCCAATTAATAAACTGAAGTCAACTGATATAGAAAGTTTGTGGTATACATACCATGATCTGTATCGTGCTTTATATGTTATTACTTATTAGTTCTTGCTTTATATTAGTCATTGATGAGCCACTATGATCAGACTGTACACTTCTACTAGTGCATACCTTACTGATTTTGAATTGGCCTGACATTGTTCCAACCTTTTCAGAGTCTGAGATTGGCACTTGATTTCTCAACTTTTGATGACCCCAACTGTAAAATCAATAGTAAGAACCGACTGCTTGCACTTGATAAATATGAGCTTATTTTTGTGAAATCGCTAATTGGCGTAGCACCTCAAAGTGTGATTCTCTCAACATTTGACTTCAATAGGATGCTCTCTGATTTGTATCAAAGTTGTCTTTAGTGTTTTTCTTAGTGTATGGTAGATGTGCTGATACAAGCTCTGTTTTTGTGCTGCGATTGATGCTAAGAGTTAGGACTTGAATGTTTGTTCAGGTTGGATCAGGTTTGGCTCTTATTGAACTATGCAGTTTATTTTTAGAATTTGTTGCCATACAGTAGGGTATTGGGGACTTGGGTCTGTTAGTTAACCTTGTCCATGGGATAAGTATGTATGCAACTTGAGCCCCGGCTACTGTCATTTAACCTTGTCCTACACTATATCATATAAGATCTTTAGTTTCTGAGCCCCGGCTACTGTGTCTTTGAGAAAAATTAGATATGCTAATTTGGGCTGCAACTAAGTGCTCTTATTATGATGCAACTTGCTTAAGCATGTCACTGCAATATCTTGATCTGCTAGCTTTGCAGCAGCTCCAACTCCACTACCCCAGCCTCCCCAGTCACCAGAATCATTCGCAGCACTAGCATTTTGTTCCCAACTTGAGTTCATTGTTGTGCCATTTTCCCATGAGCTGCCTTTCTGAATATTTTGCTCTCCAACTTAAGTATTATACAACACTTGCTTGAAGGCACATGAGATGCCAATAAGTTCCCTCACTTGCTGAATGCCATATGGAATAGACCTCCGTGTGTCAATGAGGTCAAGTACAGGTAAGCAGACATCAATTGTTGTCCTCCAGGCTTGGTATAGTAGACTTGATATGTCTCTTTTCAAGACAAAAAATCTCCCCTAATACA